GAACTCATAGATAATTTCCACTTGTTCTCCGTCTAGATCAAAGCGATGGCTAGTCGGTAATGGTTTTGTGAGATCCACCTCCACCAGAATCCTTGCCACATCGAACTGCTTAACCCATATAGTATCCGGATGAAGCTGTTTTGGAGTACCCACCGGACTGGCCAAACAGCTTAATCCCTTCCAGTGATACATTTGGTGAGGGACATTTTTTATAACCACCCAAAGCGGAATCGATTGTAGGACAGGTTGAGCTTCCTCTGCAACTGGACTCCACTTTGTAACAATCATCGGAACATCCTTTATATTCCACATTCGCCGTCGCAAAACTCTTTCCCTCAACCCACGATCCTTATTTCAAAACTTCACTGTAGTGTCGTTTACAACGAACACATCAACTCTGCTCGACTTTTCGCCCGTAGACCAGATTTTGTTAACGATCATGTGGATTGAACCTACATGTGGGGCTGTTTTGAGAAACTTTCCCACGATGCAGTCGTTCCACATTGGAGTTTCATTCAGAAGAGTTCCCAGAACTCGGAAAACTTTCACGCCATCAATCTCAGACTCCTCCATGTCAAAACGTTGCAAACCGTCTGGGTTCTTCACCATCTCCGACCAAGATGGCTTGCTCTTAACCGTCGCATCAACTCCACCCGAAGGGATTCTCGAAGAACCATCCTTCAACCCCTCTGGCTCTATCGAAACCCCTCCCCGCGTCTCTTCACAATCAGCTTTCGCCTTCACACTTTGAATCTTCAAAACCTTAATATTGTTATTAGGGATCACCGCCTGCACATCAGCTTTCGCTACCTCCTGTGATTGCTCCTGAGCACCCGTCGCCTGAACACCCGTCGCCTGAACACCCGTCGCCTGATCACCAATCTCAGACGGCGTTGGAATCACCTGTTCCATTGCCGTCATGCTCCCGGCGCCCTAACTTAAGCGCGAAGAACCAAACCCTAGAATCGCCCTCCTTGTCGCCTCTGCTGACGTGTCAATCTCTTTTTTTATCAATATTCCTTAACAACTTTTCAATTATTGTCTCCGCAAAGATTGACAAGTGCATCTGAAGAATATCCATAATAATTTCCTACACGGGGATCTAGAAGCAGCATATGTATATATAAAATTACCATCATGTTATAAACACTTGATCCTACAAAGATACAAACTCCAAAGATACAAAATTACCATCATATGTACTAAGCTCACCACTGAACTTCTGATCTTGTTTTGTTTAATCATATTCAGCCTATTCTTTATTAGTTACTCGTAAGGTAAAATTGAACGTGTTCTGGTTTATGTGGATAATAGTTTTCTACATTGTCGAAATTTAAAACCTATATGAGTGAATACTATTGGGAGATCGATGAGATCGACCATACTGATAAGGATCCAGAAGATTATGGAAGATCTTAGTTTAGGAAATTTACCTTTATCTCTAAATATATTATTTACATTTATGTTTATCTTAAATTAGGAAAGTTAGGTTTAGCTTATCTCTATATAAGAGAATGCATCTTGTAATATTATTTTTATGAGAGTCTAATATAATTCTTTCTAAACACTTTTGTGTTCTTATTCTCATCAATTTATCATGGTATCAGAGCCTAGATCCAATTCTCATGGATTGTGGTTTTTTGTTTTTCTTTCTATCTTCTTCACGTATGTGGTGGTGCTGAAGACACCAAAGTTGAAGTCTGTTTGTGGCTTATTTTATTATTTCGGCCAATAAATAGTCATGTCAAGGCAATTTGAATTTTTAATTGGCTAGCACAATTGCTAGTTTTTTGGAGAACACGTTCTGAAAATGGTTCTCTTTATGATTTCATGATCCCATATATTACATGTATGGCGATTTTTTATGAGCATGGACCTTTGATTTTGGTTCGTTCATATTTGATGATGTTTTCTGCCCTCTCAAAGACATTCTTTTGATTCAACTTCTTTTACTCGTGAGTTGTTATTTCGCAATCGCGAATTATTTTTGGACATCGCAGTTGCGAGTTTTGTCCTTTCTACTATTTGAAGAACCCTACGACCGGGTATAAACGTCGTTAATGACCTAACGGCTGGGTGTTGAAGCCAATTGACTCGACGGTGGAGTATAACACCGATATTTTGAAGACATGTCCAATCTCATACGTGTTACCACATATGAGCTTGCGGGAGGGTATTGGGAGATCGATGAGATCGACCATACTGATAAAGATCCAGAAGATTATGGAAGATCTTAGTTTAGGAAATTTACCTTTATCTCTAAATATATTATTTACATTTATGTTTATCTTAAATTAGGAAAGTTAGGTTTAGCTTATCTCTATATAAGAGAATGCATCTTGTAATATTATTTTTATGAGAGTCTAATATAATTCTTTCTAAACACTTTTGTGTTCTTATTCTCATCAATTTATTATGGTATCAGAGCCTAGATCCAATTCTCATGGATTGTGGTTTTTTGTTTTTCTTTCTATCTTCTTCACGTATGTGGTGGTGCTGAAGACACCAAAGTTGAAGTCTGTTTGTGGCTTATTTTATTATTTCGGCCAATAAATAGTCATGTCAAGGCAATTTGAATTTTTAATTGGCTAGCACAATTGCTAGTTTTTTGGAGAACACGTTCTGAAAATGGTTCTCTTTATGATTTCATGATCCCATATATTACATGTATGGCGATTTTTTATGAGCATGGACCTTTGATTTTGGTTCGTTCATATTTGATGATGTTTTCTGCCCTCTCAAAGACATTCTTTTGATTCAACTTCTTTTACTCGTGAGTTGTTATTTTGCAATCGCGAATTATTTTTAGACATCGCAGTTGCGAGTTTTGTCCTTTCTACTATTTGAAGAACCCTACGACCGGGTATAAACGTCGTTAATGACCTAACAGCTGGGTGTTGAAGCCAATTGACTCGACGGTGGAGTATAACACCGATATTTTGAAGACATGTCCAATCTCATACGTGTTACCACATATGAGCTTGCGGGAGGGTATTGGGAGATCGATGAGATCGACCATACTGATAAAGATCCAGAAGATTATGGAAGATCTTAGTTTAGGAAATTTACCTTTATCTCTAAATATATTATTTACATTTATGTTTATCTTAAATTAGGAAAGTTAGGTTTAGCTTATCTCTATATAAGAGAATGCATCTTGTAATATTATTTTTATGAGAGTCTAATATAATTCTTTCTAAACACTTTTGTGTTCTTATTCTCATCAATTTATCAAATAGTTTGGATTTAAAGAAGCTTAACTATTTCTTAGCAAAGTGGCACGTTTTACCAAATGATTTTATTCTTTTTTCATTCTCAGCGAAAGTATGCCATCTACATTTTGGCTAAACGAGTCTTTTCTGATCCAAGCCAGTGTTCACTCCAATCGAACAAAACCATAAAATGGCATCTAAAGATGGTCCTATGTCCTCGAATACTCTTCTCAAGTTCAGTTTATATTAATTCATTTATCGTCCCAATTCATGGAAAAAACTAAGATTAAGGCGATTATTAGGAAACCCTATTGTGATAAGGGATTAATATATACGAATAGGTACGTACAGCTATAGATAATATAATAGATAGGTTTAATTAACATTTGTGTAGAAATACTTTTTGAGCCTATTATTGCATTACAATTTTAAAATTTAGTTTATTTGTTTTTGGAGAAAAGACAGGTTTCAAGCAATTTCACATTTCTTTTGATATTTTATACATACGCACACTCCATGTGTCACGCAATACATGGACGTGCATATTTTGGAATCCATTGGGAATGGATAAAATTGAAGATTGCTTTTAGACGTGATCGATGAATAATGCAGGTTATCACTTGTGTAGACTTTTCCCAGTTCACAGGTCTCAAATTACCCGTTATTAGTAATTTCCAGTTCTTTAGATTGAGATATTACTATATTGATAACAAATTAACAACTATTCGTACTATCGTTCGAAGATTCAGTCTATGAAACTATGACGACATGACATCATTTACACTTATAATGCTTATACAGCTGATGACTTTTGACACCAGTGTTAAGACGAGTGCTTGTTGGTAATGCGCTAAGAATTTCTCATTGAATAACTTAGATTCATTCAATTCAACCCATTGGAGAGCAGAAATTAAAAAGTCAAAAGATGTATTGATTAGAGATAACTAACTAGTAAGAAATACTGTTATCTATGGAATTATTATTAGTTTGATTTTAATCCAGAAATCATAGTGCTGCTTTATATATCTTCATCTCTAATTAATCGGTATATACATTTTTTTATGGATTATTCATTTTCAAAAAATTGCAATTCTATTATAATAGTGGCTTCAAGTTTTGGATCAAGATTAGATTTGAGCTATGGGCTTTGGCTATAAGGCTAGTATGAAACACTTCACATGGACATTTTTTGTTGCTCAGAAGTCATGTTTCGTTCGTTTCTTCTACGTTTTTCCACGTAGCATGTTGTTGTGGTCAACGAAGAGACGCGATAGTTTCGTAAAAACTAAAAAATCTTGGCGTTCTTGCATTTTACAGTTTCATGAAAAGTCAGTTTTCTTTCATTCTAGCAATAAAGTATGTATACCTTACTATTGCTAAGTTTAAGGTTAGTAGACAAACCAGTTCAAAGCTTATAAATGGTATCACCGTATCAGAAAATAATAAAAAAAAAATATATTGTATTCAGAAAAGCTATCCACAAACATAATTAAATTACATATTGAAAACAAAGAACATAAAATTTTATGGCCCTCACTAGTCATATTTTACTAAGATCGTATTTAATTTTGGGGGAAATTAGAAGCCGAAGATACATTGGATCAACGAGGAGAGGGCTTCTGTATCTTCATCAAGATCTAACTAAAAGCATGTGGTCCTTAATGCGCCCATGACAATCTTAAATCCCATACCTGTCATGAAAGAAACACTAGAAAGTCAAACTTTTGTAAAGCCTTATATATATGTTGTATTCAACCTTTAACAAAAACAAGAGGAGAGCTAGGGACAATGTGGAAGGAGGAGGAAGAGGAGGAGCCACTCAGCCCGATGGCGCGGGTGTTCCAATCGCCGGGCATAGACAACTGCATCGTTATCACAATCGGGTTCAAAGCAAAGATCAATGTTGAGGTCATTCTTGATGACTTGAAGCATAACGTTTCTAAGCATCCCCGTTTCTCTAGCAAATTGGTAACTTGATTCTAACTACCACACCATAGTATGGCCACATATATCTAGGATCGATAGTTTCAAAAAAAAAAAAAAATTCAGTTTTGTTTCCTTTATAATGTATTTCACCAAATGAGAAAACATTCAATACAACATATCAATAAATATGTATATCTGAATAATAAATGATAACCTTTTTTTTGTTCTCTTCGTCTATGTTTCTTTAGTTTTTGAAATTTTCACCGAATTGTTTGGTCTCTTTTGAGTTCATTTCTAGAGAGGAATCATTGTTCTTTACTTGATAAGTTTTCGATCTAATATTGTGTAACTTCACAGTCAGATAATGGTGCAAGATGGATCAAGACCAAGGTCAATGTAGAAGACCATGTATTTGCACCAAACGTGGACCTTGAAGAGATCGGCGAAGATGGAGATGACTTTGTCGACGACTACATCTCACGTCTCACAGTGGTTCCTCTTGATAGATCAAGACCCTTGTGGGATATTCACATCCTCAACGTCAAAACATCTGATGCAGAAGCGGTCACTGTCATAAGATCCCACCATTCACTAGGAGATGGAATGTCTCTGATGTCTCTCCTGTTGGCATCTACTCGGAAAACATCAAACCTCGAGGAATTTCCTACAATGACTACTTCTTCCAAACGGCGTAAAATGGTGTTTCATGGCCTTATACTCACCATTTTTTATGCATCAAAAATGATTTGGAATACCATTGCAGATTTTTTCCTGCTTTTCGTTACAATCTTGTTCTTGAAAGATACAGAAACACCGCTAAAAGGCGGCGTGAGTATACAAAAGAGATTTTCTCACCGAATTATCTCTTTGGATGACCTTAAACTTATAAAAAACGCCATGGACATGGTATGCTACTATATTTGTTCATTATAAGTTTTGAGGGTTCATCAGTTTCTAAGATATATTTGCTTCTTACATTGTGCGTTTTGCTAGACGATCAACGATGTTCTACTAGGAGTTACACAAGCTGCACTTTCCGGCTATCTTAATAGACTATATGGTAAAAAATAGAATTCAATCAATATATATATATATATATATATTTATCCAAAACGTGTGAACTAACCTAACTGTAGAACAATATATATGTTGTATGCGACTCGTATCTATGTTTAACATGAAGTTCTACATGTTTCTTGACGAACAAGGCAAGCAGAACGTAGAGAATGGAGCATCTACATCGAATCGGAACAATCTTCCAAGTAAACTACGATTTCGGGCAGGTGTTGCAGTAAATCTACGGCCAAACATCGGATTTAAGGTTAGAGACTTACAACTCATAATAACAACTGAAAACAAAAAATTTGGTTTCACTAGTAAGATAATATTTTTCATTTTGTATGAAGCCAATGGCAGATATGATGGCCAAGGGTTCAAAATGCAGATGGGGAAACTACATAAGCTTTATTGTTTTCCCTATGTCCATCGGTTTAGAAACCGATGCATTGGTTTATATATCAAAAGCCAAATCCACAATGGACCGGAAGAAGCACTCTTTCCACAGTGCTCTAGTCTATATAGTTACCGGGTTCGTCTTCAAAACGTTCGGAGCTAAGGTGTATAAAGTGATAACTAAAGTGAACTCAAAGTTGCTTTCTTGTGTGTTTTACATGAAATTAATAATATGACACTTTTCTCATTATAGGTAGGAGCAGCATTGTTCAAACGACCTGTGTTGCACACAACAGCGTCCATTTCGAACATCGTTGGTCCCATGGAAGAAATCAGTTTCCATGGCTATCCAATTGCCTACATCGCTCCAAGCTCCTACGGACACTCACAAGTATACATGTTTCTTCTCTATTTCTTTATTGCATATATGTTTATTTTCTTTCGAAAGTTTCTTTCTCATAGATATTTTTTTGGGTTTAATAGCCATTGGTGATACACTTCCTTAGCTACGCGAAGAAGATGGTTATTTCAATAGGAGTTGATCCTACGGTCATACCGGATCCTCACAAGCTATTTGATGAAATGGAAGAGTCATTGCAAGCGATGAAAGCTTCTCTAGGGTTACTCGACGACGTGAGTCATTAGTGCCCATTATTGTAAACTGTAATCTACAGTAACCAGTAATATGAGTGGATTGCACAAAAAGAAAAATGTATTTGTTTGGTATTATATGGTGCTACAAGCTTTCTTATTGCTCTGGTAATATATGTTTGAAGTAAGAATTTTTTTAAAAGTTTATTGAAATGTCAAGTATTGTAATTACCATAGAGTGATCTCATTTCATAAGTTCTTAACAATTATATTGAAGCATGTAGGATAATCCAAGCAAGGATTATTCATGCTCTGAAAAAGCTTAATAAGATAGATAAAAGACAGAGAAAATGAAATAGCTCACTGAGCTTTATTGAATGCAAGGAAAATAAAGATGAGAAAACTTAATTTAGAACACCAAGATTAATAAGATTTGGATTGATATCATATATTTAGGAGAGGAAAACAACTCTCCAAAGGTTACAAATAATGTTCTTCATAAGAGTATATATATATGAAACTACTTGCTTGGAACCCTAACTACAACAAATTATAGACAGAAATTTCTGCATCATATTGTAGATCAAAAGTTAGAAACTGAGAACCATCGGGTGGAAGTAGATATTCTGGGATTTGATATATTTGTCGGATCAACAATTTTCCAATTCATATATATTATGCAATTAACCTGATATCCATTAATTTTTGCATATTCAGCCAGATATCGATCCATTTTATAAAAGTTACAAATTTATAAAAAATTATATAGAAAACTTTGGTCAAAAACAAAAAAAAATATCATATAGAAAACTTTAAAATTTAAAATTGTCCACCTTCCATGCCAAACTTAACATCTAGTCGGTTTAATCTAAATATTTAGATAATTAAGTTGATGTATAAAAATTCACTAAAATATATAAATATATATATATATATAAATATAATCGATATACTACCTATACACATATACATATATATATATACATGAGCTGAGCGTATATGACTCTTAAAATTTTAATATTTGTGATTTATTTTTCTTTTAGCTTATACTTAAATTTAGTTTTCTCTTTGTTTCGTAAAATTATTGTTATCCAGATTTTTCAGATTAAAGAGAAACGGTAAACAAAATCAAAGCAAACCTATGGATATTTTTTTCCTGACCTAATATTTCCTCTATTTTGAACCGATTATTAAAACAAAATTCTCAAGCACATAAACTTCTGAATTTTTTTTATAAGGGTACCAAAAATATTAATTTCCTCCGAGACCCCGAAAATATTGAGTCGTCCTTAATTGGCGCCTTAACTACAAAAGGACTAGCTCGCTGCCGCCATAAATGTGAGTTTCATGATAACTATGTTGTTTACATATGAATATATGATGATGATGATAATTCATAATATATTTTAAAAGTAGGCACATGTACTTTTCATATAGCTTTTGTATAATTGTAAATTTCCAAAAAATAAAATGGACGTTTTGTATGAATTATTAATACTGGTAACCTTTCCTTCGTTACATTTCCCAATATAAGCTTTAGATGACTTTTCAGCGGATGATTTTGATGCACCTTCATCTTCTATTTAAATTCTTGTTTCTATTTTAAATCAATTATTCTTTCGATTTTGGAAACATACTAGATGAGTTAATGTTAAAAAAAAAACATATTAGATGAGTTCTGGTATGTAAAGGAATCATAAAAGATGGTCAATAGTGTAAATGTGTAATACATCACCGATGCCCACATATGTCATTTCCTGTTTTCGTTTGCCTACGTCGGTGACTACAAAGCTAACAAATACAATGGTCCAGTATTAGTGGTGTTTAAAGAGTCAATAAAAAGGTATGTTTTGGTTAGCATGGAAAAAATGTGTCGGCATAAAATAAACATAAGATTTAGAACGGTAGAGAATTTCAATACGGTTTTGCTAATTTTTTTATTTGCTAGAGTATTTAAAGCACGGTACTACCGACAAAATGATCTTATGGATCTGATATGTTTGTACTCACAATCATATGGATGGTATAACATTGTATCGGCTAAACCTCTGGTTAAAAAAAACTAATTAAAAGAGTTGGATCAGGCTATTCGATATCTGTATGGAATAATTTTTGGATACAAGCTTCTTGTCCAAGACCAGCCAAGTGTAAAAGATATAACTATTACCTGAATCTAAGGGTCAATCATCTAGTTGATCCAGAAACAAAAATATGAAACTTAGTTAGATACGATAATTGAGCCAACAGATATGGAACTAATCAAAGGAATGCCAATAAGTAGCATTTACAGACAAAACTTGTCTGGATGGCATTACACAAATTCAGGCTGTTATTCGGTCAAGTCGAATAATTAAATAGAGCAACAATCTATGTATAGTACTTCGGAAATCTCATATGGGCCGGATGTAACTAAACTACAGATACCCACCATAGATAAACCATTTCATGTGGCATATAATATCAGGTTGTTTATCGGTGGCAGCTAACCTAAGAGGAAGATAAATTAGGTTCGATACACAGTGTGCAAGATGTGGAGTAGAGGAGGACAAAATGTCTAGTAGAAAAGAAAACGGTTAATCATGTTATTTTCAAATGTCCACCCGCAATACAAACATGGTTCCTATCACAGATTTCCATGTCTCCAGGCACTTTTCCAATATAATCAATGTTTTTAAACTTTGGTCATTTTTTTTGGAGAATACCAAAAGAGCACCAAAATAGTCATTTCTTTTGGATATTGTGGTATATTTAGAAAGCGAAGAACGATTGGATGTATTCAAAATTAACTCTGAAAATAACAGAAGCAGAAGCGGTTACCTTAGAAGAAGCCCAACAGAAGGATCATGAATTAATAATACTAGCAAATGGCAATTTATTGTTACTTTTTTTACGAGCACGATGATGCTGTTATATTGATAAATCTTCAAGATTAGGTTAGCAAATTTTTAAAGAGAAGGAAGTCAAAAGAATTGTTTTTTCTATTTTTTTCTTACTTTTTTTCTTATTTTTTTTTTTTAAATCATTTTTTGTTTCTTTTAAATTTTTTATTTTTACAATTAATTAATGTTTTGGCATTTTTTTCTTAGTTTTTTTTGTTTCACATAGCTTTTTTTTAAAACAAAAACTCTAATGAAAAAACAAATTCTGCTCATTTTTAATACCAAGACGTCAATTGATTGTCTGCAAAATGTTAATCCAGAAAGTAAACTGCTTTTTTGTTCATAACTATAACTAGATATACAGAAATCTATAATTCATTATTTTTATAACTTAAAAAGATTAGAAAACAAACTCAGATCATCTTATTTTTAACTATATGATTTTTGTTATAACAGATAAAAATAAGATTGAGAACGCTTATATGAAACCAACTACCAATAGAAACATCTAACAAAGTAACAATTATTTATTTATTTATTTTGATTATCTTATTTTTAATTATTTTTATTTTAGTTCAAATTTTGTCACATTTTTTTCGTTATAGAGTTTTCTTATTCCTATTTTTATTTTGTTTATCTAACTTTTTTTTTGAAAAAAATATTAAATTATATTCCAAAAAAAACTGTATCCTTTACATGACTTTAATTAAAGAAATGCAAGAAATAAGAACATTTACTCAAAACCAGAATATTGACTGAAAAACAGAGCATGCGTCACGGTCACTTTTGATCGTTATCCCCGAGAATCAAACCAAACTTCCAATCCATCGAGATATGAGAAGTCACCTACCGCTCGCATTGCACTAATCCGGTTACGCATAGTCTTGTCCAAGGTAGTGATTAAACGCTGTGTCGGCGATGGCGCTGCCCGTTCCCTCCATATCAGTGTTAATTATGGTGGCCTGGAATATATATCTTGCCAAGAATAATCGAGTTTTCCCCAGAGTACCCGACGAGAGAAGCGTCGTGACATCACCCCACCGAACTGAGTAGTGATTCCCAAGTAAACGCCTAGCCATATTCTCCTAAATCTCTGCTGAGAATCTGCATTCGAAAAAAAAGATGTGATCTTGTTTCAAAAGGGTCATTGCAGAGCACGCAAGCTGCAGAGATGCCCGACCCCCACTGCATCATTTTCTCTCCTGTGGACAGACGATCCAGCATCGTTAACCACGCCATGAATGCAAACTTCGGGGTTGCTTTTTTAAACCAAATCATAGAACTCCAACTCTTGCGGATTGTGTTTCGTCTGATATGATGCCAAGTCTGTTTCGATGAGAAACTTGGCCGCTATTGTCTGTTCGCTGCCGAGCCATAGTGATTGGTCTGCAATTTGATTACGCGTCTCTGATGCAGCAAAGATAGCAACTTCTATCAAATTTAGATCACCACGCCTGTGCCGTCTTTTCCGGTGAGTACGCCAAACAGATGCTAATGACGTATGGGCAGAAATCCCAAGAGTAATGAACCCATTGGTTCCTGTGATGTCTATTATACGTCCCAAGGAGCTCCACTCGTCATACCAAAATGAGATGTCCTCTCCATTATTTGCCTTCACACGATGCAGGTCTTTTACAATGTTACGAGTTTGAAGCAACTTTTTCCAAATCCAGGATCCAGATGATGGGATTTCATTGATAGACCATAGAGAATGACCTCTTAAGTGATATCGCTTAATCCACGCTACCCACAACGAAGATTTCGCCGACAGTAATCTCCAGATGAGCTTCAAGCAATATACCGTATTAGCTTCACGCAACGAGCGGATACCCAAACCTCCCTCAGATTTTGGTGTACAGACCTCAGCCCATGATACCTTTGCTTTCTTGCGATTAAGAGAGGGACCAGACCACAAGAAAGCACTGCAGAGAGACTCTATTTCCCTAAGGCATTGTCGTGGAAGATGGAAAGCCGCCATCCAGAAGTTTGTTAAACCAGCTATGACTGATAGTAGAAGTTGTAAACGACCTGCATAGGAGAGGTGCCGCACAGTCCATGATTCTATGCGTTTCCGAATTCCCTCCACCAATGGAGCGTAGTCATCTTTAGTCATTTTTTTGTTCATAAGCAGGAGACCTAAGTATCGTACCGGTAAATTCCCCTAGACAAATGGAAACCGTTCAGCTAGTGATGCACAGACATCTTCTGGCACTCCAAATGTAAAAATGGTAGATTTCTGAATACTAATCTTTAGCCCAGATGCTGCAGCAAACTTCTCGAAAACCTCCATAATTCCTTATATTGACCTTATTTTCCCATCCGAGAAGACTAATAAATCATCAGCAAAGCATAAGTGAGTGAGCCTCATACTTGCGCAATTGTTATGGTTTCCAAAGCGTCCCATTAAGACTGCCCGATCCAACATGCTTGACAAAACATTCATACACAAGACGAAGAGGTAAGGAGATAGTGCACAGCCTTGTCGAAGGCCACGGTGACTTTGGAAATATCCTGCGAGTTGCCCATTGACTTACACTGAAAAAGATGCTGATGAGATGCATAGCTTTATCCAGTGTATGAATTTAGCCGGCATTCCCAGAGCTGCAAGAACATTAAGCAAAAAACCCCACTGAACGGTATCAAACGCTTTGGCGATGTCGATAATCATGGCACACCGAGATGGACTTAAGTCTTTATGATAATCGTGGACAATCTCTGAGGCTATAAGGACATTTTCCACAAGGAGACGGTCTTGAATAAATGCAGACTAGTTTGGGGAAATAACACTCGGGAGAATGCATTTCAGCCGGTTTGCAAGTATTTTAGATATAACCTTGTAGAGCACATTGCAGCATGAGATAGGACGGTAGTCCTTCATTACCTTGGCATCGTTTTTCTTCGGAATCAACGCCAGAATTGTCGAGTTCGCACCTTTTGGGAAAAACCCCAGTCGAAAGAACGACTGCACCGCGATTGTATCGTCACGACCAATAACCGACCAGGAGCCTTTAAAAAACTCTGTGGTGAAGCCATCTGGCCCCGGGGATTTATTATTTGGCATGGAGAAGATCACTGCTCTCACCTCCTCATCAGTTACATCTCAAACCAGGTGATCACATTCCAATGAAGAACTTTTAATTCGCAGCAAATTCGCCAGATCCTCCACTTCGATGCCATGGTAATCAGGTGGAACCTCAGATAAAAACTCACTAAAGTGTCTCTCAGCCTCTGCACTGACCGCCTGCTCCTTTAAAACAGTGCCGTCCTCTCCAATAATCTCTAAGATCGTGTTTTGTGTTTCTCTTATCCGAACAGCTCTGAAGAAAATCTTATTACTCTTGTCCCCCACATTCATCCAGTGAAGTTTCGATTTTTGCTTTAGATATGCTTCCTCCAGGTCATTTAAACGCTCCCATCTCTCAAAAGCTAGAGATTCTGCTTCGATACCCGCCGGGGAGGGGTTTAAAGCGTTATCTTCTTGCTTTTTACGTAAATCCTCAAAAGCTTCCTTAGTTTTATTTGAGAGATTTCCGAATCTTTGCTTTGCCAATACCCGCAAATCCGGTTTCAGGTCCTTCAGTTTTTTAGATAAGCGATGCAACGCCGATGTGGAATGAAAGAGAGCAGGCGACATCTCCCATTTCTTCGCAACTGTTGGTATAAACTCAGGGATCCTTGTCAATGGATTTAGAAATTTGAATGGTTTCTTGATCCTCTGTTGTGAATCATCCAGGTATATTCTGCCTCTCAAATGATCAGAGCAGCCTCCTGCTTCAAAAACACTATAAGACCGTGGAAGATTCATTAGCCTTTCATCATTTATCAGAACTCTATCCAGCTTCTTGTGAACCAACCTTTCACTTCGTTTATTGCTCCATGTGAACCAAGGGCCATGGTGACCCATTTCAATCATGGAACAGTGTGTTGTGACGTCTTGAAAGTCTAAAGAACCCTGTCTGTCCACCGTAGAAATAACATTAGAGTGATCCTCATGAGATAGAATCTCATTGAAATCACCGCAGAGCATCCACTTCTTATCCTTGCATGGTTGTGAACCATGTAACAACTTTATTTCTCTCCACAAATGCCGTTCCGACGCAAAATTTGCAGCATATACAAAAGAGCACACAAAATCCTCATCTTGTCCATCCAAAGATATCAAACATGTGATCATTTTGCCCACTTTTTTGTATTACAGACAACCGCACATCTTTGTGCCATACCACCCAAATCCATCCTAGTCTGTTATACTCATAGTTTGAGACAAGCGACCAGTCCGGAAACACCGAAAAAGCAATATGTACATGCTTGCTTTCCTTTACACGAGTCTCTAAAATGCAGCCGAATTTAAAAGAGTTTTCTCGCACCTAATCTCTCACTACAGAGTGCTTGCATTGCTTATTAAATCCGCGTATATTCCAGAAAAATCCTGTCATTAATGATGAGTTTTTTTGTTATTCTGCTTCTTCTTCGACGGCGATTTATGTCCATTGTTCGTAGACCGTGTTTCTCGAAGGACCAGGTACAAATCTATGCGCAGACTTTGCAACTATATTCAGGGAGATACGGTTTCTCTCTACAGCACCTGCATCGCTAGCGTCAAACTTTTCCTCAAAATTATCTAACTATTCATATAATTGTTTGCAAAATTTCAATGAATCGATTGTCATATTTTTTATTTGAGTTATACTTTTTTTAAAATATGAAATTTATCAAATAACAAAAAAAAACATATCATTAACAGAGGTTGTGAAAACAGATCAAAATGACTAAAAACATCTACAAAAACCGAACCAACATAAGGGCATCTCCATCGACGGTTTGAAGGAGGAGTTCTTCCTTTTTTTGATTTAATTTAAATCAAAAAGCCTGTATTTTTGATGAGTCCGAGTCTTCCAAAGGATTTATGGAACCGATTTTGATGGAGTTCTTCCGTGATGTGGCGTGTTACTATTGGATGTTTTTTCTGTCATCACCTTCTTGCTCTTCTCTCTCTTCGTTTTCTCCAAAATTTTATTTCTAAATTTTATTAATAAAATAATTGGGATGAATCCCACCAGAAGTTCACCAATAATGTTGCTATAAACTTCAATGAAAAAAAGAGAAAAACTATTTTCTCTTTTTTCTTTTTATTTATCTAATTGGTAAAAGGTAAAAACAAAAATTTAACACATGTGATGCAAGTCAAGTTTGAAACCTCAACTTAATCTATCTCAAGTCCAAGGCAATTGTATAGTAAGCAAGTTTCGAATCTACAAAGAAGACTTAATGATTTAGAATAACGTAATAGTCTAGTTCTAACAACGTGGAAGAGGTTGCTAATCCTAACAGCTGAAAACGTAAACTAGATTATGCAAAGGAAAGTAACCAAATGAGCTAATAATAAAGCTAAAGACTTATAAACGGATGAAGATGGAATGAATGCAAAGATGGATGGAAACTATGAATAAAACTAGGTGTAAATGATGTATATACATCCATCAACGTGTTTAAATCTGCTCAATTGAATGACACATATCGCAACTAATTTGATAACTATTTGTGCGATAAGTACACTCAACCAAGTACTTGCGGGTTAACAAATCGGGTTTAAAACTCGTGATAAAATACGGATCCTTGAACCGAATAGGATCCTAGATATTTTGCCTAGCTCTACCTATAAATATACATTGTTTTCGAGGGGGAATAAGCATCTAAGGTACGTAAGAATAAAGTGACAATGACAAACGTGGAAGAGGAGGAGCCGCTCAGTCCGGTGGCGCAGGTGTACCAATCGCCGGGCATAGACTACTGCGTCGTAACCATTATCGGATTTAAAACAAAGATCAATGCTCACGTCATTATAGACGACTTGAGGCATAACGTTTACAAGCATCCTCGTTTCTCTTGCAAACTGGTAGGTAATTAGTAACTACACATAACACATGCACATACGAATGATTTTGCCTTACCTCTGGCGTTTACAAGCATCCTTTTTGCACGTTTTTTCTCTCTTTTTCTTCAATTTAAAATTGCTGGTTTTGAGAGCTTCTCCAGCTAGCCTAGTTAGAATACGGCATTGTTTTTGAGATAGATTGAATTAGCAAAAATGGTCCGAACCTGTTATTAATTTGGGTTTAAAGTAAGTTCATGTAGTAAAACTTTTAGAGCATATTGTAGAAATTTAAAACAAGCTTCTAGTATATAATGGAATGCTTTTTAAAAACGTGAAATCTTTGTGAATATAAATAATAAAAATAGCAAAATTACATGTTCAAAACGTAAAAAATAAAATAAAACTGGACTCTAGTGTGTGATATGGATTGGGATCACACAAAATTATATTTAAATTCATAATTTTGTATAAAAAAGTTAGTAATATCATAATACTTCTTATGTAATTTATCTTCTTCTTTTTTTTTTGCTAAGAACTTTTCGAATTATTTTTAAAAAATTATTTATTATTACAAAGAAACTAATGATATATTTCATATGTTTTCCGGATGTTCTTTTAATTTATGTACATTCAACTAAACTTTGAATCGGACTACTTAGTAAAAAGTAAAAACAAAATACGTAAAAAAATATCATTTGCACAACGTACTTCAGTGAGCAAAGTGCACAAAAGTAACTCTTTAGACACTTTCTCATACGAAAAAAAAAAACAAAAGACACTTTCTCTTTTCTTTAAACTCGTAGAACAACTCGCCAAAAAAAATAATTATAGTTGGGAATTTGGGATTGATACAATGATTGGTCTCTGTTGTGCTAACTCAGGGTAGTGATGGTACAAAATGGATCAAAACCAAAGTAAATATTGAAGACCATGTAGTTATACCTACCGTAGACCTTGAAGAGATCGGTGAAGATGGAGATGGCTTCGTCGACGACTACGTCTCGCGTCTAACGATGATTCCTCTTGATAAGTCAAGACCCTTGTGGGACATTCACATCCTCAACGTCAAAACATCTGATGCAGAAGCAGTTAGTGTCATAAGATCTCACCATTCATTAGGAGATGCAACGTCTCTGATGTCTCTTTTGGTGGCGTGTACACGAAAAACTTCAGACCCCGAGACATTTCCAACTATTCCTGCCTTGAAAAGACGTGAAACAAGATCGTTCGGCCTTAATGACAAAGACTGGTTCACCAAGTTTATATTCGCCATGTGCAATGCATTAAGATTGATTTGGAATACCTCTATAGATCTTTTGCTACTCTTAGCGACATTATTGTTCTTAAAAGATACAGAAACACCTCTGCGGAGTCATACTGGTACAGATAGCCGAAGGAGTATGAAGAGGTTTTATCACCGGGCTGTTTCTTTGGATGACATTAGACATATAAAGAAAGCTATGAACATGGTATGATATAATACCTTTGATTTAACCTAATGCATCAGTATTTGAGAAATTTTAATAGATCATTGATCCCTCTTGTGTGTGCTGCAAGACTATTAATGATGTTCTTCTCGGCATTATACAAGCCGCTCTTTCCCGCTACATGAACGGCCGATATGGTAAATAGTAAAATCTAATACAAACATCCATGTGCATTTTCTTACGTCTAATATTTCTCATGCATGCATGTGTTGTTAATATTTGTAAAACAAGACAAGAGGAATGTCGAGGGTGGAACATCGAAATCAGATACAAGCAATCTTCCGCAAAGAATACGATTTCGTGCAGTTCTTGCAGTAAATCTAAGGTCGGAAATCGGGCTTCAGGTTAGAGATTATTTACATCTCGAATTGAAATCTAACTCAGGGGAAAATATAATTTCTTGTCTCACAAGTAACATACATATATATTGGATTTTGTATGAAGCCTTTGGCAGGTATGATTCATAAGGGCTCAAAATGCAGATGGGGAAACTGCATCAGTTTAGCTGTTGTCCCATTCTTTATCGGTTTAGAAACGGATCCATTGGTTTATCTAACAAAAACTAAATCCACAATGGATCGAAAGAAGAACTCTCTTCAAGCTACTATAATGTATTGGTTTCTTAAGTTGAGCCTCAGTATGCTTGGAGCTAAGGTACATGGAAGTGATGAAATGAACTCAAATTGAATTGTCTATACTTTTCACGGTGATGAAGTTATAAAACACTCTTATCATTATAGGTAGGAGGATTCCTATTGAAACTATTATTTTCGAACACAACCATATGTGTTTCAAACGTCGTTGGCCCTGTCGAAGAAGTTAGTTACCAAGGCCAGCCAATTGCTTACATCTCTCTAAGCGGATACGGACATTCACAAGTAAATATCTATTTCTAGTTGCATGATATATAACTGTATATATTTTTACACACAAAAAAAAATGATAGTTGTAGAAATTTTTGAGAAAGGATTTAGATATAATTGTTTTGAAATTATAATCCCATACTTCTGTCTGTGTTTGATAGGCATTGTTGATACACTTCTTAAGTTACGCGGAGAAGATGGTAATCTCGATAGCTGTTGATCCTAGTGTTATACCGGATCCTCACAAGCTCTTCGATGAAATGGAAGAGTCACTGAAAGCTATAAAAAACAGTCTCTTGGAAAGAGATTTATTCTAGGGCGTAAGAGCATCTGCAGTTGTAGTCTCTCGAAAAGACAAAAAATCCAAGAGAAGAGAGTAAGTGAGATGAGTCTCTCATTTAAGAGACTTTGAAAGATTAATGAGAGACTCATAATCCATATGCCCTTTAGTATTGGTTCAAATTTTATAGAAGTAAAATTTAATAAGAAAACTAAATTTGTTTTAAATATTAATGATATATTGTTGAGAAACTCATTTTTAGAGACTCACCAAGACAGATGGTCTAAGTTAACTATGAGTCTTGTTTGGTCTAAAATGCACTCGTGTTAAAAGTCTTATTTTCGCTTGTCTTAATGGTTATGAGTTGAGTTATCCATGATCATGGCGGAGCAACTCCTCCTCCACCGTATCCCTTGGGTTCTTCTGTCCACAGTCAGAGGACAGAAGATTAATACCCAATAGAGAATGATTGATGTATATAGCTGGTTATACTAAATTAAGTTGGTCTTCAATATACAGATTCTTAAAGCAATCTCACATGGAACACACCTGTAAACAACGAAATCAAGAAATAAAATATTGTAAGGAACTAAATACTGTACTAGAGGAAACCCTTGCTACAAAAAAGAAAATAAAACTAATTAGAGAAACCATTAACTATATACACTACGTGCGCGCGTTATTGTACGCATTCTGATCGTATCATGGCATTTTAGAATAATATTTCTTATTAATTATAATCATAATGAGCTAATATATATCAATACAACTTTTAATATGAATAAAACTGGAACAGGGAGGACAATCTATTTTTTTATTACTAGGAGAGAACTCGCGCATATATGCGCTGCTCTTGTTTTAATTTATATTTTAAATAATATATTTTTATAATTTGTATTGAATGTTATGTTTATAATCAATGTTTGTGTTTAAAATAATATATTTTCTTCGTTTTTTTGATGATATATTATTTGTAATCTCTTTTACACCTAATGTGCTAAATAGTATATTTTTTCTTACAAGATAATAAGGAATTAAAAAACTACTGTTTTAATTTTTATATAAAAACGTAATCGTTCACTTAAAAATATACGTTGAAAACTACATACACACTGTGTTTGGTCTTCATTGTATAAACTTTAAAGTCACACACACAATCCTACTTAGGATTTAACATTGTGTTTGATCTTCATTGTATAAACTTTAAAGTCAGATAATGGTGCAAGATGGATTAAGACCAAAGTCAATGTAGAAGACCATATACATACACCATACATAGACCCACAAGAGATCGAAGATGGACCACACAATCCTACTTAGGATTTAACATTGTGTTTGGTCTTCATTGTATAAACTTTAAAGTCACACACACAATCCTACTTAGGATTTAACATTGTGTTTGGTCTTCATTGTATAAACTTTAAAGTCAGATAATGGTGCAAGATGGATTAAGACCAAAGTCAATGTAGAAGACCATGTACATACACCATACATAGACCCACAAGAGATCGAAGATGGACCACACAATCCTACTTAGGATTTAACATTGTGTTTGGTCTTCATTGTATAAACTTTAAAGTCAGACACACAATCCTACTTAGGATTTAACATTGTGTTTGGTCTTCATTGTATAAACTTTAAAGTCAAATAATGGTGCAAGATGGATTAAGACCAAAGTCAATGTAGAAGACCATGTACATACACCATACATAGACCCACAAGAGATCGAAAATGGACAAGGCTTTGTCGATGATTATGTGTCGCGTCTAACAATGAAACCTCTCGATAGATCAAGACCATTGTGGGACATTCACATCCTCAATGTCAAAACATCTGATGCGGAAGCAGTCTGTGTAATGAGATGTAACCATTCCTTGGGAGATGGAATGTCTTTGATGTCTCTCTTGGTGGCGTGTACCCTAAAAGCATCGAATCCTGATGCATTTCTTAGCATCCCTGCTATAAAACGGCGTGAACATTTTTTGTCGCGCAGCCTTATTAGAAACAAATGCTATCTTTTAAGGTCAATATTCGTGATTCATTATGTGGTTAGTTTGATTTGGAATACCATTGTAGATCTTCTGCAAGTATCCGCGACTGTATTGTTCTTGAAGGATACAAAGACACCACTTAAAAACGGTGGTGGTAGTGCTGAGAATAATCCAATGAGATTCTATCACAGAAGTCTCTCACTGGATGACATTAGATTTATAAAAAATGCTATGGATATGGTGAGTTACGATTTGTTCGGTTAGCAATGATTTTTTTTTCTTTCTTTTTCATGATGCTATAGTCCATACAAAAAAGAATTGTTATTTTTTTGTTCTTATCCTTTGTGTGTGTGTTGCTAGACTATCAATGATGTTCTATTCGGGAATTACGCAAACAGCTATTTCTCGCTATCTGAACCGACAATATGGTAAATACTCTCTGTTTTATAATATAACTTGGTTTAAAAGTTTTCTTTTATTTCAAAATATAAGTTGTTTACCTATTTATATATTTATTGTATACTGTATGATTTAATTATATTATGGCAATTTTTTATGATCGTTGAATTATGTTTAATTTATATATTAAATAATTTTTTTTCTCAATCTCCATGTGGTTTTAGCTAAAACAACCTATATTATAAAACAGAGGAAGTATTAAAATTCATTACGTGTGTGTGTGTTGTTTCTTGGTAAATAAGGCAACACAAATGTTGAGGGTGGAACATCAACATCGGATCTGAACAATATTCCAAGTAAAACACGACTCCGCGCACTTATTCCAGTAAATTTAAGGCAGGAGATCGGAATCCAGGTTAGATATTATATTTTGAATTAATTTAAAATACCTTTAAACCTTAACTTAAAAGAAAATAAAACTTTTTGCATGAAGCCTGTGGCGAAAATGTTGGCCAAGGGTTCGAAATGCAGATGGGGAAACTACAACGGCTTAGTTCATTTTCCGCTCTCCATTAGTTTAGAAACCGATCCATTGGTTAATCTATCAAAGACTAAATCCATAATGGATCGAAAGAAGCACTCTCTTATGGCTGCACTGGTTTATTCAAATAATGAATTCATCTTCAATATTTTCGGACCCAAGGTATATATTGAGATATATTAATGAACTCAATGTTACTTGCTTTTTCACTGTGAGGACATTGTATAAAGACTCATGTTATTGTAGGTAGGAGCAGTATTATTTAATCGAACAATGTCGAACACAACAACAATGTTTTCAAACATTGTTGGACCCGTGGAAAAAGTAAGTTTACACGGCAATCAGATCGCTTACATCGCTGTAAGCGCCTATGGAAAGGGAAACACACAAGTACGTTTCTTTTCTTTCATTCTTTTGTTTTTTTTTGGGTAGAAAATTAAACTGAAATGATAAGTTTGTAATAGTAATCATGATGAAGAGATCCTTTCGACCTTTTCTTCTCATAAATTCACATATATATGTATGTATGTTGTGTTTGGTAGGCATTGTTGATACATTTCATAAGTTATGCGGAGAAGATGATTATTTCGATCGGGGTGGATCCAACGGTCATACCAGATCCTCACATTATTTGTGATGAAATGGAAGAGTCTTTGAAAGCTATAAAAGAAGCACTTTCTGTGAAGAACGATATAAAATGACCTCGATTTTTGTAGTGACAAAAGGATAATGGACACTCCAGTCCAACAGACGAAGTAACCCATTATCCTGTATCAGTTGTGTGAAAATTTGGTATATTTTTGTGTAAAATAGTTGTCCATGGGAGTATGTATTAAGAATCCTTCTCTTCTTTTTTGTTTGTCTTTTCACAAAAAGTTGTTTCCCTTCTTGTTTGTTTGTTCTTTCTTGCACATCAAGAAACTGGTTTCCAAAACTCTTTAAATTTCCTTTCAAATTTGTTTTTCTACAATTGAATGGGGCAGAGAAAATGTTAGAACAAGACTGATACAACATTATATCAGATTCTCAAAAAATATTTGTGAGAGGATTAGTATAAGTTAAGATATGTGAACATTTAACTCTTTTTAAATAGATTTTTTTTTTTTTTGTAACAAGAGCATTTTTTATTTGTTCGGTTGGAATACTGAAATTTGCAGTTGGTACTCGTTAAATAGTTGAGATAGGATTCTACGTTTATTTTTTCGATGATTAGGAAGTTGAGAGGATTAGTCTAGGTTAAGAACTTAAGATATTACTTCAAACATCATCATATCTTTAAAATTCTTCAACTATTTTTTTAGTAATTAAACTCTAATCTCAAATACAATCTACCAATCCGTCAACACTAACGTTAAAACTCTAAATTCCGTTTTCAACTAGAATCTGTGTTTTTTTTAACTTAAAAATGACAGTTCTTTAAAATGTCCTAATATGACACGAAATTTCTTAAAAAATATGGTCTAAAATCCTTAAAACTCCAAAGTCGTATATGATCCGGGAATCCTAAATTCCAAACCTTATTTCAGAAAAATGGTGATTCAACAACGAATAAAAATCTTTTAAAAGTCATTGAAAAAGGTTGAAGGTTTGTTGTTGTGAAAAATCCAACGAAATCGAGAGCCGAGAGGTAAGTCCTAGAATCCAAGATTCTCTTTTCTTAGTGTCGAGAGTGAAACAGTCTTCGATTCTGCTAAGGCTTGTAAGATGATAAGGTAAGTGAGCTCGTAGTTAGTTAATTATTTTTATGTAAACATCCTCCTATTTTAAAACTAATATTGAAATTCGATAAAATTTCTGAATCAAGTTTAATAAAACGGTTACTATTTAATATTTGGGGACATTCCATTCTGATTTTTTTTAAATTAATATTTTATTAAGCTCGACCCAAAAATGGGCATTTGCTGATTAACAGACAAGTACCCTTATGGGTGAATAACGTGTAGTTTTTGTGTTGGTGGAAAATGCTCTTCTTTATTACAAGCCTACAATGTCAAAGATTCTAAATTCAATTCACCACTCATTGCATACTAAATAAGATTTAAAAAAGAGAGGACATTTTCTAAACAAAGGATTAAGATGTGATTTAACATCTACTAAATTGATAAC